ACACAACAGTCTTTACATAACATAAAGCTGGAGCATGTAAGTATGCATTCCTGTCCGGATTCTGTGCCTTGAGACTTCAGCCATGCTGTAAACAAACATGATACTGAAATTACACCACTGGGTCCCATAAACCCCATAAATACTGGAAATTGTCTATTTTCTTGGCTGTTTCAAAGTCTGTGAATCTGGTCTTAAAAATAAGAATCACAGGAATTAAAATCATGTACTTGGAAAACTCATAAACATTGTGACTATATTCTCTCGGTCCCACTCTGTATCCTCTTTCATTCATTTTTGTAATTCTTTATTTTCTTTGTAAAGTAAGCCAACAACACAACAGCAGCTTGTGTTTACATAGAGTACTTTGTGTAGGCTAATATCTTGTAGAGCTGAATGATGGAGTCAGGCGCTGAGCTCAGAAGAATGGGAGAGGAGAGATAACCTATGATGGAAGAAGTAGGTTTTTAGCCACTCAAATCCCTAATTCCCTATAATGAGAACAGCAGGAGAAGTCTGAACTATGTGTGTTTTATGAACCTACCATCAAGCCCTTTCCTGCCTCATTCAACATAGAGGTCCACAAAAAGCGATCGTAGTCTCAAATACGTCCAAAAAGATCATTTAGATTGTTTATTCAGAGGAAGCTTAACATCAGGGAGAGGAAGTTCTTGAGGTGGACCTTGAAAGAGGCTGGAGAAGGGGTGAAGCGAAGAATCTCTGGAGTTTGCAGAGAGTGGGGGCTGATAGGCAAGCCCAACTGCTGATTGTGAGTCAGGCAGGACAGGGGACGCGAAGCAGGTTTAAGACAATTGCAGAGGTAGAGTGGGCAAGATCATGGATGGATTTAAAAGTGAGGATGAGGATCTTGAACTCAATCCTCTGAGGGATAGAGAGCCAGTAGAACCGGACAACGATGGGGATGATAAGCTTTTGCAAGGCTGTAGATTATACTTCTTGTTTGTTAGATTGATCTGTGGTTCTGACTCTTGAAAGGGGCTAGCCCAAGAGGGCAAAGCATCCCATAGATATCAATCATAAAACAACTGTATAATTCAATGATACAAGGGTGATGACTGGTAAGGAAAAGGATCAGAAAGATCTTTCCTCATGATGGGTATCCAGTGACTTCTGCTGGAATATGCATATGCACGAACCAGAGCAGAATCAGGCTTGGCCATGCCGCCCTTCTTGAACAAGTAGCCTGCTGACTCTCACTGGGATAAATCCTTCACTGATCGCTAAAAATAGGTAATCACCATAAAGTGGTTAGTCTCCTACAAGAAGAATGGCTTCTTGGGAGAGGTGATGGCAGGAAGCCAATTGCAACTTAACTCACCACCTTTAGAGGAGGGGAGGAATTTGGGAGATGACCTGCCAGTTACACATCATACAACATCTCAGTGCTCTTTCCAAGGGTAACAGCAGCATTGAGCTCCAGGATGGGAATGTGCCTTTCCAAATTAATTGATTGAAAGGACCAGGAAAACTGTCACTAATTCTTCATGTATGGGCCTAGGCATCTTTCACAGATCATTCAAAATAGTAACCTTTTCATTGTGTCCTCATAATGGAATCACCCATTTTCAGCATTACAGCAGTTTCCTAGTTTAAGTATGTCAAGACAACAATGACTTCTATTTATAGCACTTTTCAAGTAGAATAAATGACTCCAAAGCGCTTTATAGAATAAGATTAATTGGATTGAATGTTGTGTAGTGAAACATCCCACAGTTGCAAGCACAAATAAAATCCCTCTTATGTAGTAAAAAAGAGACAACAACAACAAAATTACATTTATAGAACGCCTTTCACGTCGGGAGGACAACCCAAAGTGCTGAACAGTCAGATGTTGGGGCCCGAGCATGGGGAAGGGTGGTGTAGGGGTGAGGGAAGGCAGAGAGGTGAGAGGGAGACCAAAGGCACGGTCGAAGAGAAGGGTCTTGAGACCGGCCTTAAAGGATGCACTGCACGAGACAGGGCTGGAGGAGAAACCGTTTGCCGCGACGATGTGGAGGCGGTGTGGAAGGTAGGATCTGAATCAGTCAAGGACAGAACCTTGAAGGTTGAGGTGGGAGGAAAGGCCATGGAGGAGGATTGAGTGGTCCATGGTGTCAAAGGCGGCGGAGAGGTCGAGGAGGATGAGGAGGCAGAGGGAGCCCTGGTCACACATGGTCAGGATATCGTTTGTGACCTTGACCAGAGCAGTTTCCGTGCTGCGGGCAGCACAGAAACCTGATTGGAGGGGTTCATGGAGGGAGTGAGAGGAGAGGAAAGAGCGACGCTGGGAGGCAACGGCTCTCTCAAGGACCTTGGATAGGAAAGGGAGATTTGAGATGGGCCGGTACCTAGATAGTTCTGATGGGTCGAAGGAAGGATTTTACAAGGTGGGGGTGATAGTGGCTGTTTTGAAGGGGGAAGGAACAGTGCCAGATGACATGGAGAGGTTAATGATATCGCCAAGTAGTGAGGCAAGGAGGTGGAGCTGGGATTTGAGAGAGGTGGGGATGGGGTATTTGCGAGGCGTGTCAGGGAGGGTGGAGGAGTCAGTTAGTGGTGGAGAACAGAAGTCTGGGATTCCAGGCTTTCGCTTCCAGGATTAACCTGGAATAGGAGGATGATTTGTCCGAGGCGAGAGGGAAGTGGTAGGTTTTGACGCGGTCCAGCCAAATGTGGCGGTGGACCGTTAGGCCAGATTTGAGCCAAGCGTGTTCGGCAGACCGCACCTGGCCCTTGAGCAAATGGAGGTGGCTGGTGAACCAGGGTGAGGATCAGCAATAGGAGGCAGTTCGGGAGGTGAGGGGGGCAGTGTACAGTGAATGGGTTGTTGTGAGAGGTGGGCCAGAGGGGAAGGAGATCAGAGGACTCCAGGGCAGCGGAGAGGGATTGCAGGGAGATCTTGGAGTCCTGTAGCTCAGTGGTTAGAGCACTCGCTTTACAAGCGAGAGACCTGAGTTCAATTCCAGGCAGAGGGCGAAACCTTGGGCAAGTTTCCTTACTCCACACAGAGCCTAATAATAATCCTCCAAAACCAAAACCAATAATAAATTGGTCATTTTCAATCCACGACTGTTTGTGGGACATTGCTGTGCGCAATTGGCTGCCGCGTTCGCCCACAAATATACAGTCAATTCACTTTACAGTGTGTTCTGTGAAGCGCTTTGGGACGTCCTCCCGACGTGAAAAGCACTATATCAAATGCAAGGATTATTATTATTATTATTATCTTCTTCCATGGGCAGTAGAAGATGGTGGTAGGTTTGGAGGCAGTGGGGAGAGGGATATGGGAGTTGTGAGAGATGAAATGCTGGTCAGAGATGAGCTTGTCAGTGATGGTGACATCCGAGACGCTGAGGCCCCGGGCGATCACCAGGTCGAGCGGGTGACCGAGTGGATGTGGGTAGCAAAGTGGATGTGAAGGGAGAGATTGAGAGAGGAGAGGAGGAGTCTGAGGAGGTGGAGCAGGAGGGGGTGAAGTGGAGGTTGAAGTTGCACAACTGGTGCATCCAAAGAGATACCAAGCTGCCTTGAATCAGATGTTACTGATCTTGATAGAATATTTATTGTGACACAATGGTAAGTGGTGAGTGCCATCTGTTGGGTTTTCAGAAGCATTACACCTACCACTGAAGCCAATGTTACACAAGAAGATTACCCGCGTACAGCGCCTTTGAGTGCCAATGTCTGCCTCTCAACAATTACAATTCAGTGATCTCATCATGGGGGCGGGGCTGGTGCTGTGGGGGCGGGGCTGGTGCTGTGGGGGCGGGGCTGGTGCTGTGGGGGCGGGGCTGGTGCTGTGGGGGGGGGGCTGGTGCTGTGGGGGCGGGGCTGGTGCTGTGGGGGGGGGGGTGCTGTGGGGGGGGTGGTGCTGTGGGGGCGTGGCTGGTGCTGTGGGGGCGGGGCTGGTGCTGTGGGGGCGGGGCTGGTGCTGTGGGGGCGGTGGCTGGTGCTGTGGGGCGGGGCTGGTGCTGTGGGGGGGGGGTGGGGGCGGGGTGGTGCTGTGGGGGCGGGGCTGGTGCTGTGGGGGCGGGGCTGGTGCTGTGGGGGCGGGGCTGGTGGGGGGGGGGCGGGGCTGGTGCTGTGGGGGCGTGGGCTGGTGCTGTGGGGGCGGGGCTGGTGCTGTGGGGGCGGGGCTGGTGCTGTGGGGGCGGGGCTGGTGCTGTGGGGGCGGGGCTGGTGCTGTGGGGGCGTGGCTGGTGCTGTGGGGGCGTGGCTGGTGCTGTGGGGGCGTGGCTGGTGCTGTGGGGGCGTGGCTGGTGCTGTGGGGGCGGGGCTGGTGCTGTGGGGGGGCGGGGCTGGTGCTGTGGGGGCGGGGCTGGTGCTGTGGGGGCGGGGCTGGTGCTGTGGGGGCGGGGCTGGTGCTGTGGGGGCGGGCTGGTGCTGTGGGGGCGGGGCTGGTGCTGTGGGGGCGTGGCTGGTGCTGTGGGGGCGGGGCTGGTGCTGTGGGGGCGGGGCTGGTGCTGTGGGGGCGGGGCTGGTGCTGTGGGGGCGGGGCTGGTGCTGTGGGGGCGGGGCTGGTGCTGTGGGGGCGGGGCTGGTGCTGTGGGGGGGGCTGGTGCTGTGGGGGCGGGGCTGGTGCTGTGGGGGCGGGCGGTGGGGGGGGGGGCGGGGGCTGTGGGGGGGGCTGGTGCTGTGGGGGCGGGGCTGGTGCTGGGGGGGGGTGGTGGTGGGGGCGGGGCTGGTGCTGTGGGGGCGGGGCTGGTGCTGTGGGGGCGGGGCTGGTGCTGTGGGGGCGGGCTGGTGCTGTGGGGGCGGGGCTGGTGCTGTGGGGGCGGGGCTGGTGCTGTGGGGGGGGGCGGGGGCGGGGCTGGTGCTGTGGGGGCGGGGCTGGTGCTGTGGGGGCGGGGCTGGTGCTGTGGGGGCGGGGCTGGTGCTGTGGGGGGGGCTGGTGGGGGGGCGGGGCTGGTGCTGTGGGGGCGGGGGGGGGGGGGTGGGGGCGGGGCTGGTGCTGTGGGGGCGGGGCTGGTGCTGTGGGGGCGGGGCTGGTGACAAGGGGCAGCGCTGTATTCTCGGGGGTCGGGGCTGTGACGTTGTGGGCGGTGCCTCAGGGAGCGGTGTGGAGCCGCTCCGCGGGGCCTGTGATCTGTGTCAAGTCGCGGCAGTATGGCGGGGAATTGCAGCGGTTTCACGGTGGCTTCAGGGGAGATCATTCAGCTGAACGTGGGCGGCACCAGGTGAGAGAGCGGCCGGCGGCGTCCTGGGCCCGGCCCCTGGGTACAGGCCCGGTCTGGGCTCCTGCCTCCACCCTGACCACTGAGGCTGTGGCCGGGCCGCGGGACCGCGAGTCTCGGGGGAGCAGCTGCTGCCCCCGAACATGGCCCTGTCCGTGAACAACACAACACAACACAAAGGACTGTCTGTCTGTCTGTCTGTCTGTCTGCACAGAGTGTCGGTTCCACTCGCTCTGTGCATGTTTCTGTCTGTGCATTTCCGTCTGTCTGTCCGCCCGTCTGTTTCTGCCTATTTGTGTTTCTGTCAGTCACTGACCCCAAACCTCTGTCTGTTTCTCCTCTCCCTGTTTCTGTCTGTCATTGAGCCCAAGTCTGTCTTCTTGTCTGTTTCTGTCAACATGGCTCTGTCTCGGTGCATGTTTCTGTGTGTGGTTCTATCTGTGCAACAACAACTTGCATTCATATAGCGCCCCTCAAGCAGGGAAGCGTCCCATAGCGCTTGAATGTAATGTGCATGTTTCTGTTTGCATGGCTCTGCCTTGTAGCATAGACTTATTATAGCTGTTTGACATACAATGGGGACATTGAAGTGCCAGTTGTCGATGCTAATTGACCAAAGATGGTGTGAGTTTCAAAATTTGGACCAAATATACCTGGTCTAAGGATTACAGCAATTTATCCCCTTGTTTTAGGGTTTGGATGTCTGATAGTTACAATCCAGTATTTCAGTGTTAAGGTTGGTGGAGACTAAAATTAATGTTTTAGAATATGGATTGTTAAAATAATTGTGTTACTGGGTTATATATATATATGCACTGTAGTATTTAGCTTTCTTTTGTAACTTCGCTTTTCCATGTCGAGTGCTGTTAACTCCAGGTTTGGAGTGAAGACTCACCTTGGGTAACCATTCCCCTCCAGGGATGAGACCACATCTTTTTAGACTTTATTTCTGGCTGAAGGGAAGGCTGTTGTTAGTGATTACAATATATACATACATCAGTGCTGATCTTGTGATCTTGGTTTTATCCAGTTTTTTGAGCTTTCTGTACAGTGTGCTCACTCGAGGCAACCACCTGTAGATGGTTAGGCTGAAGTTGTTTTGCTTTTAAAGTTTGTACTGTCCCAAGCCTTGTGTTGGCTTGGGTTGTTGTTTCTGGGATAGCACTGCATCTGCATCTTGGGAGGTGATGTCTGAATCTTACTAGTCTTTTCGAGGGAGTGGGTCTGTTAAGGAGATGTGTGACTAGTAGCAAGGTACGGGAAAATCTGATTTCACAACTATAGTACAGTATGGTGCAGTGGTTTGGGTCCACAATACCAGACCCTGTGTTATAACTGGCGTGCTATACAAATGACTACTGGTTAGTGCTTCCAGGTCAGAAAGTTGTCAGTGACTTCACTTTCTGCAACTATTTCCAAAAAACATTTAATGGGGTATGATTTGTAAGGTGCTTGTAAGGTAGCTTGAGTGTCAAACCTCAATCACTTGGATTCAGGCTGACCAGTAGCAGTGACTGAACGGTAGCAGTGAACAGTAGCACGTGCTTAAGAATGGCCTAGAATTGGTGTAGCCGAATCTTGAATAGACGGCATCTGGAATGTGTATAAGAGCAGAAGAAACTATGAGGATGACACCCCACCACCACCATTTGATATTCTGGGAAATGCAGCACTCCAAGGCATTGTATATTTGCACATCCACAATCTAGCCAGCCATGCAACAAGTTCAATATACCAATTTGAGTCAGAAGTAATCCGTCCTGTTCCAAATCTTGTCTGAACAAAATGTACATTGAGTCAATGGCTCAAACAAGTGCATAAATATGTAAAGCTTTTAACCTTTCAGAATTGTTTCTCTGAACTAAAAATTTGTAGCAAACGGAAAGTCATTTGCAATTAAGCATAAGGAATCCCAGTTATTCATGGAATTGAAAGACAGTTGCCAGTTCAGTTCTCAAGATGGGAGAACTCTCTCAAAAGCTCTGCAGAGGATTATGCAAAGGTCAGTTGTAAATCCTGATGTTTCTAACTCTAGAGATTCTGAATTTAATGTTGGATTTTTCTACTGGAGTGAAATAGTTACCCATTCCAGCAATCAAGTGATTCAGAGCATTTATGTTTCTCAATCTGAAATTGCCTTCGCCAAGGAGCTGAACTCTGTGTTGCTAACCAGTGGCAAGTGACATATATTAATAATATTATTATTACTAATAATAAGAATAAAATGTATTTAAGGGTGCTCCACTGGACGTACTTTTAAGTTTAAAAGTTCTTTTGAAAATCAACTGCAGTACGTACTTTATACTGCAAGCAATTTGATTCATGAAAATACTGTACTGCCCAAAGTAGTATTGGGAATGGGATTCAGATTTTAAGTTTGCCCCAAAAAACACATTCTTTGCTGGCCAGTATAACCGGGGGATAAGGAAGGCTATGGGAAAATAGCATAGCTGTAGGGGCCTCGAGTATTTGCTTATTCAGAGTTTTTTAGCCACTAGTTTGAAGTGGATTTACTGTCATCCTGGCTCGGTTAGTACAGTAGAACTCTCGTCTCTGAGTCAGAAGGTTGTGGGTTCAAGCCCCATGTTGGGATTTTGAATTTATATAGTCTGGGCTGACACTCTGATGCAATCCTAGAGATGTGCTACATTGATGGAGGTGCCTTACTTTGAATGAGACAGTAAACCAAGGCTCTACTCGGTAAATTAAACATTCTATGGTAATATTCGAAAAGAGATGGGAGTTTTTCCCAGTGTCCTGGCCAATAACCCCCCAAATAATATTGGTCATTGGCCATTTGTGGGACTTGGCTATACACAAATTGGAGGCTGCATTCACCTTCAAAATACAGTCTTGCAGTATACCCTGTGACGTTCTGAGACTCTCAATAAGGCATTATTTCAAATAGTAGTATTATTAATAGTAAATCAGATAAAATCTTCATTAATTGTAGTGCCTTATTGTGTGAGTTCAAATTAGTTGCTTTGACGCGTAGTGACTCAGTAAATGGTTCCTATGAAACTGAATGCTGTGAAATGGGAAAGAAAAGTCAAAGCACCTGTGGGAATGACAAGTAGAAAATTGTACAGAAAATTTCCAAATTCTGATATATTGGAACTTGCCTCACAACCAACTATTTAACCACATTAAATAATGGTCTGTTGAAAGTTATACTAATGGACCATTTGGGAGAGGAGCCAGTGGCAATATATACCCGCTGCTGTTTGCACCACGGTGAGATGAATCAAAAACCTGCTGACAAAAGCTATTGCTCTGTTAATTACAGAAGTGACAGATGTGCAGTAATTCTGCCAAACATTATATAGGACAACATAGTCTTCACTGAATTGTAAGGCAGAAACATAGTGAGACGTTGCAATGATGAGATCATAAACCACAACAGTCGCCAATTCTGTGTAACTTACAGAAGGCCAGTGATAATAGGCCATTGTTTTTTCAGTCAAAGTATTGGTGTAATTGGAATTTACTTTTACCAAGAATACAATGACTTAAATGTACAGTGTTACACGTTCTTGACAGTTTCCACAGATGTGCTTGTGCACTAAGTCCATTGTTACTTCAGGATGGAAGGAGATTGCTATATAAAAGAAAAGTGGTATGGGTTTTGGATGGGCAAGTGGGATTGAATCAACAGTTTGCTCTAAGAGCCAATACAGACTCAATGGAGCAATGGCCCCTTTCTGTACTGTAACATTTTACAATTCTGGAATCCTGTAGCTCAGTGGTTAGAGCACTCGCTTTGCAAGCGAGAGACCTGGGTTCGATTCCCGGCAGGATGAAACCTTGGGCAAGTTTCCTTACTCCACACGCCTGATAATAATCCCTCAAGAAAATAAAACAATAATAAATTGGTCACTTCAAACCACGACTGTTTGTGGGACAATGCTGTGCGTAATTGGCTACCGCATTTCGCCCACAAATATACAGTCACTTCACTTTACAGTATATTCTGTGAAGCGCTTTGAGACGTCTAGAAGACATGAAAAGCGCTACATCAAATGCAAGGATTATTATTATTATAATTTCACCTTCAACCAATTTGTTGACGTTTTGTTCAATCGAATAAAACATGTGTCACGAAAGTGAAATTTGAGCCAAGAAATGCTTTTTATAGTGTCACGATAATTGACTTGTGCCCCCAAAAATTGTGGTGTAATTTTTTATATTTGATAACGTGATTAGTTAGCTAAACCTGCCAAAGGCAAACTGCTGGGAACCCTCCCCTTAAAGCTAATGCAACTTGACTTTAAGGGGTCAGATTTCCAGTATTTTGCAGCCAATGTCCTTTGTATAGAAACTTTGAGGTAACCAAATAAGCAGGTTGACTGAGGTGGTGGTTTATAAATGTAGTTGTGCTGTCAACCCAAAACAGGAATTGGGACGTCCTCCCGAAGTGAAAGGCACTATACAAATGTAATTTTGTTGTTGTTGTATAAACTGAAGCCTTAAATCTGGTCCTGTCCTGTCAATAAAATGACCTACGATATTCCAGTATTTGAATGGGTTGTATTCCATATCGGGTTGGATGGGAAGGAAAATGGACACAAGGAAGCCACCACCGTAGAGATTGGTTGTGCAGCACATATATGGTAATCATGTATCTGGAATAAATGGTTGAGGTACGGGAAAAGAGAGGAACAAATATTCCAAGATCCATGAGTATGGAGTTAGCATGTACACTGCATAAAGTAAAGATTACCTTTCATCAGTCAGTCCCCTGATCCCAAACATCATTTCCAAAACTCATTTCTCTTTATTCTTCACTGTCATGCTTTTAAATATTGCTTCCTGTTGATCTCCATGGATCCAGAAATAGCAGTTACCAAAACAATTCCATGGAAAAGAAGTGGGTGGTTTTGTGTGTTATTGATAAGTCAGTTGCCCACAAGTGAAGACATCACCAACAAGTTTTGTAGTGCCTTTCATGTTGGGACAATGTCTCAAGACTCATTACAAAGACTGAGTGGGAGGGCAATGAGGGG